TAGATGAAGCCAAACCCAGCCCTGGCTGGCTTTGGCTTGGATTCTTCTGAAAGGAGGGGTCTTTTCAATCTGCGCAAAGATGCACACGGTCTAGCCCTGACTTCAGGAAGGAGGAGGCTCTTTGTTTCCAAATCAGAGTTTTGGAATCTCCCATCTGTTTGTTGTTTGCCATATTCCCTTTCATTGGCAGGTGACAACATTACTGTCAACACTCAAAACCTCCAGAACATTCACTTCTATTCTCCAGCCTCACCGCTCCACCCCACCCCACCTCTGTCTTGGCATCTGCATCCACCTAACTTACTGCTTTTCATATGCCTCGATCTAGGGCAGAGTTTCTCAGATCATTCTGACCTCAACCCGCAGTAAAAAAAAAAAAAAAAAAAATGCATTCCATATCATGACCCACACAGGCGTATACATAAAGAGCCCAGAGTATTCATGAAACGTCTATTTCATTTTTAAAAAATACTTATTTTGACCCACGAAATTGGTTTCACTCCTTAGCGATTCTTGACCAAACACTCTGAAAAGCACTGTTAGGACATAGCTGCATAAAATGAGGCCCTTACAGCTTACTAGAGGCTGTGCCCCTCCCTAAAGCTACTGAATCCGAATCTGCATATCAACAAGGCTCGCGGGAGACTCCTGCGCGCCTGAGCCGCCCTCGTCTAGGAAAGCAGGAAGCCGCACTGTTAGAATTGTATACATGAAAATAAAGTGCCTGGGGGACTCTCTATAGGTGAAGGATGTGAACTTGAGCAGCCGCGTGAACATCTGCTGGAATTCCCCCAAGGCTTTTTCCCTTGTTTTACAAGGCCAGGGAGTTGCAGAGATGTGTCATCCCTCTGCCCACAACATCTGAAAATCGCAGGTGGTGCTTTATGGTCTCTTCCCACGGCTTGCTTATTCACACCTAGGAGCTTTGAAAGTCACTTTCAAAATGCAGAGACCCCAGTTCCTCTGCATCCAACAGTGGCAAGTTCACAGAGCTTTTTGTGCCAGGGAATGAGCTCCAGGAAAATTCAGAGAGTGAGGACCAAGAACTAAGTCCGGGGTGTCAGGCCCCATCCGGCCATTAGCTGCACAGATGACTTTCTCAGGTGGAGTCTCAGTGTCTCTGTCATCAAATGCGGCTGTGCTGGGGACCATCTCTAAACTGCCTCTTCTCAAAATCCCCTGAGCTGTCCCTGGAGGTTGCATCATCTCCTCCCAGACTCCCTCCCCTGGGACCTCAGCCTGGCTCCTGCAAGTGGTCCCAGGGCCTGTACTGCCTTCACAGCTCCTGCCTCACCCTGGCCTTGGGTAACCCTCGTGGATGGAGACTGGGGGGAGGGACAATGTGGATCCTCTTCCGTTCTCCACTTCCAGAGCAGGAAGCATCATTGTGAATCTCCTTTTCTGAGTGCAGGGCACCGTGCTGGAGCCTCGTGGATCCAGCCCCTCCGTCCCCGCCCATGTCCTGGGACTAAACAGGACAGTTATCCTCAGAATGGACTTTGGACTGCTCTACTGCACATCTTTGTCAGGTAAATAAACACAGAAACGTAAGCTCTACAGGGAAATTGTTGGTGTGTTCCACTTGTGGCCAACTCAAGAAGCTAAGCAAGATTTGTTTTGTTTGTTCACCTTCCTGCTGAGGCAAATCACCCTGATGATTAGAATAGAAGCCAGAGGTGGAGGAGGGAATGAAGTGGGCAACTGAGGATAAATGTCAGAGAGATGCCCAGCAATGGAAACCCAATTTCAAGAAACAGGGATGACATCATCCCAGCCATCTGAAAGGTCAACCCCTCATTAGGAGTCAGCAGTTTGCTTATTTGGGATGTTGTTGACAGGAAAATGAGTCATTTAGTATATCCTATCTTTTAAGACTGTTAGATATTTACTGAAGGCCAGAACTGGGTTACCTGAATATTTTCAGAAGTAAATATGAGTCATTAAATCTAAGATGAGAAGTATAGAAGACACTGCTGGGGCCCTGCCCATGGCCCTTGGCTCTCACCTCTACTCTCTGAAGGCCACCAAATGCCGAATGTAAGCACCTGACTCTGCACCTGACTTAGCCAATGTAAAGGGCAACTTGGGAAGCTGGAGAGGAATGGGAAAGGGGGGATGAAGCCAAGCCAAGCCCTGGCTGGGTTTGACTCAGCTTCTCCCCAGAGGATCGAGGGGTCTTTTCAATTTTTGATGAAGTCAGTGGAAGCAGCCTCACCCCATCATGGATGGGAAGGGGACAGATGAAGAACCTGCTTCCTTATGCCTGGGTTGGGAGGACTCAGGGTGTGCTCTCACTGCCCCCCAGAGGTCCCCACTGGGAGTGAGCTCCAGTTGCCCACAGTGCTACAATTCAAAGTTCTTTTTTTAAGATTTTATTTATTTATTTATTTATTTATTTATAGCCTGCTTCCAAGTCAGGGAAGGGGCAGAGGGAGAGGGAGAGAGAGTCCCAAGCAGACTCTGCACTGAGCATAGAGCCCAACATGGGGCCAGATCCCACAACCCTGCAATCATGACCTGAGCTGAAACCAAGAGTCAGACACAACCCACTGAGCCACCCACGTGCCCCTACGATTTAAATTTAAATTAGATTTCCTTCTCTCCTCTGTGGGGAAGTATTTCAGGGTCTGTTTCTGGAGAAATCTAACCAAAGGCAATAGGATTAGTACCTCAGGAGTTTTAAATAGATCACATGACCCTGCACCCTGAGTTGAGTAACCAGGGAATGGGCTGGCTGAAGAGGAGAGGAAGTTCTTGTCGCTAGAAATGTGCAGGAGGACCTGGTAACCATCTCAGAGGGGCCCCACCAAAGGGGGCTTCAAAACATTAAAAGGCTTGCATAACTATTTACCAAGGTGATGACTGCATTTTTGTAATCCCCACTCCTCCTCCTGTACTCTCTTACCTGGTAACCTTGAGCTAGGTACCCAGTGGCAGGGAGGTGACTGAAGGTTACTTGACCTTGGGCAGAACACAGTCTTCTGGCCCTCACTTTCCTTATTTGGAATAGAAGTGAGTTACTCAAGGCAACATCTAGGGTCTCTACTAGTATGGACATTCTAGGACTTGGTGTGCCAATTATGGCAGTGGTCTTTGAATATAGGGGAGGCCATAGGAGGTAATCTAAAGGGCCTTGTGGGACCCGCAAAGAATCCTGTCCCTCTCTGAGAATCAGTGTCCTCAGCTGCCATAAGATGACATCAAAGGTCCTTCTCAGCAGCAACACTCAGGGTCTTCAGGTCTGTCCCCAAAGTCCCATTTTTCCTCATCACCATGGCTTGGGTTGGGAACAGTGCCTAAATCCTACCCTCCACGTAACTGTTGCCAAATATCTCCTTGGAATAGCCCTGTACCCCAAGCTACCAGTCAGGTTTGGCATTTGGACAAAACAAAGCAACAGAGGTTCTTTATAGAGCTCCTTGCTCCTCTCCCCAAATCACATTGCTACTTCCGTCCACCATGACTCAGGCATGAGGACATCCTTCACACTCTGTGGTTCTCTCGTATCCATGAGTCCCCATCTTTCCACAGGCTCTGTTCCTCATTAAAAGAATGCCAGGCTATGGACAGCAGAGGCAGAGGCATTTGGGGGCAAGCAGGTCTTCCCAAGGCCTATGAAGTCACACCCAAGATTCTGCTCAATCCTGTTGGTGGCTGAAAAAAGCAGGCCAAGGCCAGGAAATCAGAAGGAAGTGAAATCAATTAAGCAGTGTTCTAGCCACTGGGTGAGCTGAGCAAGTAGCCTGGATGCTTCCCAACTCAGGTCACACATACCTGCCCACACCTGTCCAAAGAACCCCACCCAGATTAAGACCTCCCACCGGCAGTCAGCTTGCCACCTATCCTATGATTCCTATAGCTTAGGAAGTATGTTGAGAACTCTCTTAGAACATTATCAGCAGGACCAAGGTTTGGCCTTAGCATGGAGAGCCCACGTGCTCTTGGGCATGTCACTTAGCTTTTCCACCTCTCGGCTCTGGCAATTGAAACATAGGCATAGGGCGCCTGGGTGGCTCAGACGGTTAAGCGTCTGCCTTCTGCTCGGGTCGTGATCCCGGGGTCCTGGGATCGAGCCCCACATCAAGCTCCCTGCTCAGCGGGGAACCTGCTTCTCCCTCTCCCTCTGCCTGCTTCTTCCCCTGCTTATACACTCTCTCTCTCTGTCAAAAATAAATAAAATCTTTCAAAAAGAAACATAGGCATAAATACATGAATCTATAGCCTGTTCTCTGGTTATGAGCTCCCTCCGGCAAGAGCATTACTTTGGAAAATGAAATAAAAAGATATGGCCAGTTTGTTTCCTGCAGCTGTCTTTGGGTGGATTTGATTATTCTACATATTCTTACGCTTCCCTGCCACTTCCCAATTTTTGACGATAAGCACATGCTACTTTTGTAACAATAACAATTAAATATAATTATTTAAAAGAGAGTTCTGCATACATACAGTTGTTGTCCACTATTTAACTCCATCTGCCTTCCTCATTGGAAGGAGTGTTCCCAACTCCTTGTCTTTAGACCGGAACAGACCCCATAGCTCATTTGATCCCAACCCTCATCTTACTAATGAGGAGACTGCCTGCTCTGCCCTCACCCTTGGCCATGGCAGCTGCATTCCCCCAAGTGAGAATTCACATTTCCTTCCTCTGACTTCCTCACCAAGGAAAAGTTAAAGAAAACCCAGCAAAGAAATAGCAGATGGAGGGAAGGCAATTCCTCAGGTAAGAAGTTTATGTGTCACATTTATGTCCTTTAAAAACATCAGCCTGGGGCACCTGGGGTGGCTCAGTTGGTTAAGCGTCGACTCTTGGTTTCAGCTCAGGTCATGATCTCAGGCTCGTAAGATTGAGCCCCGAGTCGGGTTCCATGCTCAGTGAGGAATCTGCTTGAGATTCTCTCTCCCTCTGCCTCTCCCCACCACTCTCTCTCTCTCTCAAATAAATAAATACATCTTTAAAAATAAAAATAAAAACATCAGCCTTTCTCCTCCTCTCTACTCACGGAGTCTTCCTGGCAGCTTGCAGATTCCCCCTTCATCCAGGAAGTTCATTCTAGCTTCACATCTGGCCTGGGTGCCTGGGGGTGGTGTGGCTGCCTCGGGCCTCACAGAAGAGCTAGCCAATGCTCCCTCCTAGAAAGAGGAAAAACCAGGGCAGTCAAAGACAAGACTTCTTGGTGAAGGCTCAGTCATCCTTAAATATATTAAGAATTTTTCTCAAAGGGAAAGACCATCCATCTCTGTGGGGCATCTGGGTGGTTCAGTTGGTTGGGTGTCTGCCTTTGGCTCAGGTCATGATCTTGGGGTCCTGGGATCAAGCCCCAAGTAGGGCTCCCTGCTCAGCAAAGGGTCTGCTTCTCCATCTCCCTCTGCTTTTCCCCACTGCTCATACTCTCTCTCTCAAATAAATAAGAAATTTCTTAAAAAATTTTTTTTAAAAAGGTAGGACCGAGTATGTCTTCAGCTTGGTAACTTCAACATTTTGTACAGAGTGAACACTTGATAAATTTCATCTTTCTGATTCAAGTTTTTCATGTGTGTGCCTAACCCACCAGAAGGCTCCCCTGCCAAGAGTTGAGTTGTAAGCTGGAAATCTGAGAGCCTAGGAATACTCACTGGGACCTTGGTGAGAGGACAGAGGGAAGCTGAGGGGCCAGGGTAAAAAGACTTTCAGTCAAAAATAAATAAACAAGTAAATGCTGTTTTCAAGGGAGAAAAAGGAAGGAAACGTTTCTGAATCCCAAGGTCCCACCAAGGGAAGCCTGTATCTTTACAATTTTACAACCAGCCTAGCCCCAGAGGTGATATGGTTCATCCATCAGGAAGGGGAGATGAAAAAAGGGACAGGATTTTGTAGAAACAGGAGTAACCTTGGGGCTTATGCCCAGCGACAGGTGCCAGCCGGTGAAAAGTAAAAGTGAAACCAGTCCCAGCAAGTCATTTTCTCAAACTAGAATCTTCAAGAGCATTATATTCATCTCCTGATGTCCGAGGAAGGCAGCCTAAGTGAAAGACTGTGGGTCTGGAGCTGTCAAAGCAGAGGAGGATTTAACACCTTCTGGGGTAGTTCTCACTGCTGGCCCCCACCACGCCACCGCCCCTTGGTGCTATTTCCCAGGTAACCCAGCTTCAGAGGCTGCCGCCTGGGAGCAGGACATGCCCAGCTGGAGAAGGGTCTAAGATCTCACACTTGCAGGAAGCCCCTTGTGGACTCTTCTACCCTCTTCCAAGCTTGAGGACGGGCCAATTCCGGGGCTTTAAACTGCCTGGGAAATGCCAGCCTGGGAGCTACTGAGAGTTAGAGCTCTGGGCTTCAGCATGAAAGCCAGGGGAAGGTCTGATAAAATATGGATTTGGATCTGAATCTTCTTCTGGAGAGAGGAGGTAGAGAAAGGCTTTGGAGGTGGGAAGGGTGCCCTGCTCTGGGGCGATTCTGAGGCTTCTAGGGAACTACGGCAAATGGAGAGGGACTGCTAAGGAGTGGGGGGCCCCCTCTCCGGTGGCGTTTGCCAGCGGTTCGGGTCTGGTTTGCGCAGGAACTTCCAGGGACGTCACAACTGGTTGATGTAGGGGTGAGGAGGAGGTAAGGAGGAGCAGTATATAACACGGGGGCCGGGGTGGGGGGGTGTCGGAAGAGAGACAGTGAGGCTGGAGGTGAGTGAGGAGGAAGGACCGGTGAGGGATGGATGGTGAGGTTTGGGAATGTGTAGGAAAGTGAGATTCCAGCAAGGAAAAGTTCTGATAACATGGGTACGTTCACTGAGGTGGTGGAGAAGGGATGGGGGTGGGGGGGCGAGGCTCCGCGTGCGCGCGCGGCGGGGTTCCCCCGCCAGGCTCTTACCTGCATTACAGGTGGAGGTGAGATAGCCACAGGCCGTCAGTCGTGAGCGCTCCACTGGCCGCGGCTGCTGGGCGCTCTCAGGCCCTCCTTCCCTCACCCCTTAACTGGGCCCCCAAAACTGGAAGGTCGCGTGGGAGGAAATCTCTTTCGAGAAGCGCCGGGTAGTGTACCCTCGGGTACCCCGGGCCAGCAGGCTCACAGGGCGCTCCGGTAATCGCTATCCTTCCGGGAAACGAAAACGAAAGAGCGGGATCCGACTTCCACTCCCGCCCCGGCGGGCTCTGGGCAGGGCAGGCGCCGGCCCCTGCGGGAGCGCAGCGGCGGGGGCTCTCTGCTCGCCAGCCGGGAGGCGTCGGTCCTGCTCACAGCCTCCCGCTAGTGGACCGCCCCTCCGGCAGCCTGGCCCTGGCTCCCAGGGACGCGGAGGTGAGATTCTGCGGGATCTGGGGAGCCGAGGGGACCCCTGGTCCTTGGGCTCAGGACAGCAACAGAACAACTTCCTGTCACCCCTGTGTGTCTCCGCATTTGGATGGGAGGGGACCTTAGGGATGAGTGACCTTCCTGGCCCTGACCCCAATCCGACCTGCCGTTCGTTGGGCCCTATGGACGCCCCACCATCCCAGCCGAGCCCCACCATCAAAGCGGCTGTGCGACTCCTCCTGACTTAGACCCTAGTACCCTGTGGAGCCTGGCGAGCACTTTTTCCCAGGTCTCTGGTTCCCCCAGGCAAGCCAACCCACCAGCACGAAGAAAAGGAGGGAAGCCTTCTGCGGAAACTCCGAAGTTATAGATGCTGTTATAAAGAACGCTTAGCGCTGATCTATCAGGAGCTCCTAGAAACTAGTAAGAACAGGGCCAGAAACCCAATAGAAAAATGGGCAAAGGACATGAATAGTCAGTCCACATAAAACAAAATGTTGAATAGCCCGAGAACATAGAAGAAGATGCTCAGACTCACTCATTATAAAAGATGTGCAAATAAAAGTTTTTGAGATACCATTTTTTTGCCTGTTATTTTGGCAAAAATTCAAAAGTTTACTAACATAATCTGCTGGAGAGGCTGAGGGGAACAGAGAGAACACTGGGCAACCCCATGGAAGGCAGTAAGACGAGATCTGGCAAAGTTACAAATGCACATACCCTTCACCCAGCAATCCCACTACCAGAAATGTATTCAATAAATCTACCTGCACATATCCAAAACATACGCGTTATTGATTTCAGCCTGGCTTATGATAATGACTGATTGGAAACAATCCAGGCATCCATTAAAAGGGGGTGATGAAATAAATCATGATAGATCCATTTAACAGAACACCATGCACAATCTGACAGAGCTCTCTGTGATGATGGCAAGCTCTCCAAGAGGCAGTACAGCATAGCAGTTAAGAACCTAGACTCTGGGGGCGCCTGGGTGGCTCAGTCAGTTAAGCGTTCAAATCTTGGTTTCCGCTCAGGTCATGATCTCAGGGTCATGAGATCCACCGCTTTGGGCTCCATGCTCAGAGCAGAGCCTGCTTGAGATTCTCTCTCCCTCTCCTCTGCACACCCCCCTCAAATAAATAAATCTTTTTTAAAAAGGAGAAAAAAAAAAAGAAGAAGAAGAACCTGTGACCCCGAGGACAGCCCGGCTGGCTTGGAATTCCAGCTATGTCACGTACTGGTTTTGTGCCCCTAGATAAATTAGCTAACCTCTCTACTGCCTCTCTCCACTAACTGCTGCAGTTTCCTTAACAGTAAAACAGCGGGGCACCTGGGTGGTTCACTCGGTTAAGCATCTGCCTTTGGCTCAGGTCATGATCCCAGGGTCCTGGAGCCCTGTGTTGGACTCCCTGCTCAGTGGGGAGTCTGCTTCTCCCTCTCCCTCTGCCACTCCCCCTGCTTGTGCTCTCTCTCTCTCTCTGTCAAATGAATTAATAAAATTAAAAAAAAAATAGTAAAAGAGAGCTAATAATAATACCTGTCTCATGAGGCTGCTATGAGGAATAAATGAGTTAACATTTGTAAGACAACTAGAATACAGCCTGATCACCATGCAAAGCAAAAAAAAATCAAGGTACAGAACAATGTGTACTACATACTACCTTTTGTGTGTAAATATATATATATATTTGTACAAAGAAGCTCTGAAGGGATATGTAACAAGCTACTAGACACAACTGGGATTCAGGATAGAAAATAAAAGCAAGAGTTTTCACTGGAAACCTTTTTATATTGTTTTGATTAATACCTATCAAAAGAGTAAAAATAAAGAAGAAAGATGTTTTAGCATCCTTTCCATGCCAGCAAGCCAAACCCTAAAAAATGAAGGAACTATATAGGCATTGCCTGAGACAAACTGAAAAAATGGGGACATTTCCCTTTGGAAGGACAAAGGCAATGCTACATAATATAATCAAAGTCTACAAAATTTTGAACCCATATGAGCAGGAATAAGTGGAATCCCTTCTTCACAAAAGAAATATGCACAGGTGTTGGGATGCCTGGATGGCACATCTGGTTAGGCATCCAGCTCTTGATTTTGGCTCAGGTCATGATCTCAGGGTCATGAGATCGAACCCTAAGTCCACTCCAGGCTCAGCAAATAGTCTACTTGTCCCTCTTTTGTCCCCCTCTGCCCCCCACCCCCACTCTCCCTCTCAAATAAATAAATAAAATCTTTAAAAAAAAAGAAATATGCACAGGTATTTCATGCTCAAAAAATAACAATATTTATTTCATTTTTTAAATTATTAATTTTTAAATAACACTCTTCCTACAAAGAACTCAGAATGTATATATGGAACTTATAGTTTATAACCACAAACTTTCTTAATACTTGTAATACTTCGAAAAGGGGGAAGAGAGGGATGATGAGGTAGACAGAGAGGTAAAACAACAGGGCACTGCAGATCTGGACACAGGCAACAAGGGTGGGGCCGACAGCTGGCTGGAGGGCCTGGTACCCCGGGAAGGGCCCGGAGAAAGCACCCATTTCTTTGAGGATTAGGTCCAGTTTCACTCATGGAAGAAAATGCTTAAGATTTCCTTATAAGGAGCACTGGGACCATCCACAGCAGCACAGGTGTTTTCTAAGTGGCAGGGCCTCCTTGGGCTTTCCCAGCAAGCAATCTCAAACATCTCATAGCTGGTTGCTCTGCACAGACAAACAGCCAGTGAGTCTGGCATTCTCCAACAAACCAGGGGTGAACCAACACTGTTGGGTAAAAAGAGAGGGAGACGGAGAAGGGTATTCTTCCATCTGTTCCAGTAGGATTCAGGGTTTCTCGGAGGACAGGAGGAAAGCAGAAGTTGGCATTTGCATTCCTTTTATATCAAGCGGTTATTCCAGAGAAAGCGCAGCAACACATGAACTCCTCCAAAGAAAAGCAAGACAAAATGAGCCAGAGCCTCCCTGACTTCCTGTTGAAGATCCTGTTTAACACAAGATCGAGAGAGAGGTTTTAAAAAACAACAGAATAATCCAAAGATAGAAATTCAATATTAAGATTAATTCAGTGAGGGACACCTGGGTGGCTCAGTTGGTTAAGCATCTGCCTTCAGCTCAGGTCATGATCCCAGGGTCCTGGGATCGAGCCCCGCATCAGGCTCCCTGCTCAGCGGGGAGTCTGCTTCTCCCCAGCCTGCTGCTTCCCCTGCTTGTGCTCTCCCTCTCTCTCTGACAAATAAATAAAATCTTAAGAAAAAAAGATTAATTCAATGAATGCCACAAACAAACTCCTTGGATTTATGAATCATATGAGCAGGACAATATCTCGGTCTGTTTTGTAATGGCCGCATCCTCCACACGCCTTGGGAAGTTTTCCTCTGGAGGTGTTTTCCCATTATCTTAACCATCAGCAAATTGGGGCTTCTTTTCAGGGCTGATAACCTCTTCCTCTGGCTTTGCAGAGCACTTCCTTAGTCCTTTCAAAGAAGCAAGACGTTTGCTTTGGAGTTGGAAGAAAGGATAGGACTTAGCTGAGTGTGTGTGGGGGGGTGAATATGAGTGAAGTTGGAGGTGACAGAGAGCACAGCAGGTCTGTGGAGCGGTAAGGAAACACCACTGTTGATTTGCGAACATCAGGAGAAGGCTGAGGGTCCAATACAAATGGGTGTCCCCGTCCCTGCCCCTCCTCCTGCCGTCTCTTCTCAACACAGCAGCCGTGGGGGGGGCTGTGAACGGTGCCTCCTCTGCTCAGAGCTCTCCAATGGCTCTGCCTCAGGCCTCCTGGGGACCTCAGGGCCCCACCTAATCTGCCCCCACCACTGCTCGGACCGTTTTTTTTACCACTTTTTCCCTTACTCAGCCTCAGCCTCAGCCTCACCGCCTCCTTGCTCTTCTTCAAACATGCCAGATCCGCTTCTGCCTCAGAGTCTTTGCTTTCCATCTGCCCCTACTGCTCGCCCCCCGATATCCATGCTCCCTTCCATACCTCTGTCAAGGTTTTGCTCAAAAGTCACCCTCTCAGTAAGGCCTTCCCTCCTCTACTTAAAACTCTACATCCCCCAACACGCCTCACTCCTTTCCTTGCTGTATTTTTCTCTACAATATTTATCAGTGTCTGATAAACTATATACTTTGTTTGCTTATAGTTTGTCTCCCTTTTAGAATATCAACTCCATGAGATCGGGAGTTTTGTCTCTTTTATTTATTTTTTTAAAGATTTTATTTATTTATTTGAGAGAAAGAGCACACACACACACACACACACACACACGGGGAAAGGGGCAGAGGAAAAGGGAGAAGCAGACTCCCTGCTGAGCACAGAACCCGATGGATGCAGGACTTGATCCCAGGACCCTGGGATCATGACCTGAGCCAAAGGCAGCCGCTTAACCGCTGAGCCACCCAGGCACCCCAGTTTTGTCTCTTTTAATCTCTGCCATATCTCCAGTACTTAAACAGATCCTGACACACAGTAGATGCTCAATAAATATTAGTTGAATAAATGAATGAATAAATGAGTGATAAACCAACAGTAGCAAGCTAAAGAATTTAGGCTTTGTCCTGTCAGCAACTGGGA